TATAACAACTCCATTAGGATCTAGGAAAACAAGCCCTTCCCCCGTTTCGGTGATAAGGTGTCCCGTTCCAAAACGTAAATTGCTAGAAGCAAGTTCTTGAATGCATCAAGCCTTAGTATTGATGCTGAGTATCTCCTGAAGCTACAGCAGATAGAGCTTACAGATGTAGCTTCTCTGACGTGTGTACTGACACATGCTTTGTTGTTGCCTGAAGGCGCCGTGGAAGGACGAATGACGTCAAGCCCTTATCATCCCCGCCCATGAGCCCGTAGATTAGGTACGTCGGCGTACGCTAAGTTTCCCGGCAGAGTGCCTACATATCAACAAGATAGGCTTGTACAGGAAGGATGAATGGGCCGTGTACAAGAGATAGATCGTGTTGAGCAGAATTCTACATACGTCAGTATCGGTCGTTCCATATTCAAAACACTCCTCAAAAACACAGACGGATACAAACAGGATTATACAGAACTGTTAGTACATTGAAGAATGTATATGTGTATATTGAGTACTCAAATCTAATGTAATGTTTTTGTCATGATTCTTAATGTTATATGTATGTTATGTCATGAAACAAGTGAATGAAAGTTGCAGAAATGTACAACAAAGTGGTTACAATGACACCCGGGAGTAAATGCAAATCATTTTGACGAAAAAAAACACGGTAGACGACCGTAGGTTGCTGCCACAAGGGAATTTCGTGGGATTGAGAATCCATGTTAGCCACAAACTAGCGGTTACTGAAGGATATAATTCCGATTCTCTTCAATTCCCCCGTTTCTATACCATCATTGATTTTCATTCTGTTGAACCGTTGGGGTTGGTCATACCTCTTACAGGTGGCCACCGTTCTGACTGATCTGGGTCAAACGGAAGTATTAAAATCAGCATCAATTGGAGACCGGTATCAGGAACGGTGTGCAGATACGTCCATCAAATCCGCTAACCGGAAGAACAGGAGTGATGGTGGGGTGTAATTTCATGGTTACCAACGTTGGGATGATATGTATTGAAAAATAACATGTTCCTCGGCCATAAGGCCGCAGCAAGTAACTTTATGGATTACAGACTCCACATCTGATGCGATAGGGCGAAAAAACAAGATTCTTTCATTTTCAAATTTAGAGGTCATAAGGCTTGGTAAACAAGAATTGACGTAAAAACATGATATCATGACCAATCAGATCTTTTATTTTCGTATTAAATAGTATTACCTGTCCTTGTAGATGTGTAAAGACCTTAATTGACTAAAAATTCTGGCACAAATTTCGGCTACAGGCGAAAATTAACGCGCTGATGTCATCCATATAACTTACTTGCTGTGGCCTAATCAAAATTTACTAACTCATTATCTATCAGCTTCAAGCAGCCTGAAGCTAGGCAAGGCTTAGGAGAAACAGCTGCCTGGGCCGCTGCTTGTATCACACTGTTCGTAACAGTTCGCAACGGCACTGGCTTATCTGGCTGAGTTAGCACTGGCCAGTCATCATCCAATCAGATACTCACTCTCATGTTGCTGGAGGGAAAGTTATCAGCCAATCATATGGCCGCTTGCTCGTAGGCAGGCCTGGCAGGAGAGGAAATGAATGTACGTGATGTTGACCGGGTGTGTTGTATACCCAAAGGTAATTACATTGGCTATATGATTCGTGCAGTTCCTTAAAGATGATATCGAACAAGTTGCCTTTTCAACAGGCAAACGGACGAGGGGCGTTTGCCAACATGGAGCTACAGACGGCAAAATCTAGCAGTATCTTCTTTTGAAAGAGAATGGATTCTGCCTACCTCTGAGACGGGCGCACCATTGGAGATGATCAATGAAGTATCTAAAATGATGCACTTATGAAGCGTGGTTTTGATACTATACCATAGTCATCTTACACCTCTTTGGGTCTTTATGAGATATTGTATATATACATCAAATAGCTGCTGGCCATATGAGGGGAAGGGCGTGGCACATCATATCATCATGACAAATTCAATGTATACTTGTGACCATTATCATCTTAAACAACAGACTTTGTTTTCGGCAATATAACCAGATCCATGGGCTGGAAGTAAAGGGGAGGCCAATTACTTTGCAACATTAAAATTCCGCTGATCTGAGTAAGGCAGCTATATGATGAAAAATGGATGAGAATGTCGCCTCATCCTTAGAAACATGTGTGAATCGTCCCTTGTGTAGTTTCCTCATTCAAAGAGATCCTTTACATCTATTGACAACTTGTAAGCAATGCTGACTACGCGCCAGTTTAACCATTCTCAGCACGTCTGCAGTATGCCTGGATCTATCCCAGTGCAGCTAATTGTATTTGGCAGAAATGTAACTCTAACTTCACACGTAATTGATGAAAGATATCAGAGCTGCTCAACCCCTTTAGACACGAGAACGATGGCCACAGATCTGCCGGAAAGTGACAAAGTTTCAATTTCATCTTCACAATGAGCTAGACGCCGCCACAGGCACAAGTGCACATGAGAAATGATTCCATCAGCGTAAAACCAGAAATATACCTTGGATCCAAATTAAATCTCATGTTCTGAGGAGAAGGACATGTGTTTTTGGAGGGGTTGAACTCTGGCAGTCATCCAGTATATACCTTCATCCCAGCGCTGTAGCAAAATGTCTGAAACTGGGTACCAAAAGGGAAGTAAATCTCTTCCTATCTAAAAACTCCTATCGCAGAAACTGGCTGTGCTTAGGTGCTGGTTTAATTTGATTTGATGCAACTAGATGTTGATCCCACAATCCAGCATACATGTGTATATAGGAAACCTGACCATGAAACGCAAATAAAACAGTGTGTGGCAATGCCTTCAGATGGAAACTGCAATATTAGCTCTCCTTCACTCATACGCAAACGATCAATGCGTTTCGCGTAAGTGAGTGAGAATCTTAGATGATCAATCTTTTTTAAAGACCTATTTTTGAAAGATTTTGTTCTCGTAATAAGAAAAATGTGCTTGTTTGGAGTGTGAAGATATTCCACCTTGAGGGGATTTCTTGGGGTGCTTTTTTATATTTCAGCGGAAATACGTTACTGTCACTTTGGCAGGTGTGGAAAGAAGAGGCGAGCGTTCTTGGCATGTTGGACAGGTTTGAATAATGGGTGTCTCCGAGGTTTCGGCAGCGGATTTTATCGGGCTGGTTCGGTGATGGAACTGAGCCCTCTCCTCCTGATCGAAAGGCATGTAAATGGCTCGCAGTGCCGGTGACAAGGTGATCAATTACCCGCTAGATGAAAGCAGCTTCTCCCTTCCCGAGGTGGAAACGTCCCAAGGTGAAATTCACGGCAGCTTGCTCGCAAGGATCTCCTCAGACAGCCCCAAAGAGGCAGGCCTCAATTCATTTGGTGAAAATTGCTTCTTCGCCCGCTTGGCACGCCACCGATATTTGACAGCCTTTGGTTTTCAGGAGTTCGTAGGTCAATGATTGTCATGAATGTCGACTTTGCTTTGGCAAGTGCCTCGGGCAATGTGACGTGAACAAAAAGAAACTCATATCACAAAGTTCTCACATTGCCGTTCCTATAACAAGCATGAAAAGAATTTTATGATATGCCCTAGGGAAAATTGGGAACAATGAAATTTGTATGGTTAACGATTACTATGAAGTTTGGTTAATGGTTACTATGAAGTTTTTATATTTGATGTCCATGATTTCTATGACGTTTTTACATGTCATATGCTAACTTTGAAGTCTTTACATTTGATGTCCATGAATTTTGGATGTCCATAAATATGAGCATTTACAATCTAATTGTCCACAGCCTGGCCAGTTGTCAGAAAGACAATAATTTGGATGTGATGTTGTTGGAAAGGTGACGACACTGTGCTGACGTTAACGAGTCTTGGAGGACCAGTCCCGGATAATGGTTATCTAAGAAAAAAAAGCTAAATCAATAAAACCGGGCATCAATCCTGCCCAGCCTTTATCTAATGGCTACCGACGGTCGATGCCATATTGAAGAGGTTTTATTGCAATTCTGCCCGGCAATGGATTCAAATGGCCATTATGTGGTCAGCGACCTACACGTATTTTAGGCCGGTCTCAATATTCTTGAAGGCACCCTTAATATTCAAAAACCATTATAATATCAATCAAATTAAAACTCGCATCTTTATACTTTTAAATAACACATATTTAGATATACATGTTTATGTATGAATTGTTAGAGGGTAAAAAGTACACCATGTGTTTCTATTTTAGATGTGCGATATTTATATTTCAGTCCATGCCATAGGTATGGATGAAATATATTGTTTTCTCTTGCCTCGATATGTTCTATGTTCTGTATGGGCTCTTGAGATTCAACACATCGCCGTCCTGAAGGTTAACTGCATAAATTCCTATCTTTAAGCAAACCTTAAAGTATACGCAAACATGCGAGTGAAGAAACGGTCTCTTTGTGCATGTTTTAAGCATTTTGTGCAGTGCGTTAGTATTCATCTTCGTGTATTCTAGCTGCAAGAACGTTTCTCACAGTGTCTGATGAATGAAACCTTTGTCACCACCCCCACGCGTAACTTCCTAATGAGCAATTACCACAGCCGCAAGTCTCGTGATCTTAGCAAAAACGACATTTGGCTGTTCAAATAGAGCTAAAGTAATGCAATGATGTACGACTACTGTCGCATTAGCCAACAGCATATACATTATACATTAATCACACAGATGTCGCCTTTCTATGTTAAGTCATACAAATGCGCGCGAGAATTCAATACAAATAAATAAAAATGTCAATTTGGTCAAACAGAAAATATATATATAACAATACTGAAAAACTGTCGTAAAACAACCATTGCTTGGCACGATATAAACCTGCACATTGTGTGTTAGTTATGACATTATCACATCCACCATCTGTCAATAGCAATTAATTCTGAAATAAGTGAGTAAGTTCTGAAAGTGTTTCAAGCCTTCTCTCTATTGGCATTTCGGTTGGTTGCTTGGACTTGGTCAGTAAATGATGAAGACAACAAACTATAATAATTCATACCTTCTTTCATGTAGACAATCAATTTTGTCTCTTCAAATGTTGACGTCGTGGCCGCAGGCTCCTGTAGAGATGTACAAAAAAGATTCCAAAATTTTAAAGACATGTTCATAAGTCAATCATATTCAAAAATATGCAGACAGTGTATCTATAGGATATGTGTTGTTCAGTAAATCTATGCCATTTTGCAATTTTTGATCCAAATTAGGATAGTTCTGCAAACTATGAACTTTAATGATCGATTACCAGAAAACGGCTTATAGCTACATCACTGCACCATCTTGGTAATTTCTTCCTTCAATAGTCTGTCCGCTAGAGGATGATCTTTGTAACCTCAGCTCAGTACCTACATGTATATATGCATCTCACATTGTCAGCCAAGTAATCCACCAATTTTTCTTAAATAGAATCAATAGGAGCGTCCTGTAACTTGAACTTGAACTTGGCTCCTCATCAACGTCAGATCGAAAGTTTACCTCGTTAAAGCTGATCAAAAGATACATGCCGTAACCGTCAGCTATGTCTTAGTGTACTATTTAAAGAGTATATTCATTATCATGAACGTGGGCTTTTAAAGCAAGAAAGAAGAGCACTGCTTTAAAGCTGTGCCCTCACTCCAAAGCAAGAAAATGAAAGACCAGGAAACTAGACTTGGCAACAGCAGGCAAATGATAAAAAGGTCTGGCTGAGAACCAATTAAAGGGACTACGTTCAAATGCTTGACGCAGCGTACCTTTGCAGTCAATTTATTCCAGGCTGCTCTGTCCGCCAAGGTTATGTGCTTTGCCAAATAGGTTTCGACACAGTAAATCCTATAATTCGACCGGGTTAAATCCTGTACCGCCAAGTTGAGTGGAAGGATTTGAAGATTTGCTGCTGCCTATGAATCACGTAGACTTTTTTTCTATCGGGCTGATACTTTCAGACTTTCGTGAAAGTTGTAGGGCCAATAATCGAAATGCTCGAAAAGTGGCTCTTATGGATAGTGGGCATTGATGAAGCACTTTACTACTGTATTCCGAATCTTTTGAAAGCTATGTCGAGGAATTAGTAAGAACAATTTAAGAATTGATCGAAGATTCTCTTATAATTTCGATCGATGTACTTGAATTTTGACCCATTTAAAAGCTTAGGACACTAGAAAGGCCAATATTTGCTTTGGAGCAAATACAGCGATGGGTTCACCACATTTTACGACATGGCAGGGAAAGAATGAGAAACGCAAGGGAAAACAATGATTTACATTGATATAACTATAATATGAAGTAACATACGACTAAAACAACAGTTGGATAGCTATTCCCTACTTTATTGGTTAGGATTTTTAATTGCATAATGCAAACTGTTGATTTTCAAAATAAAAATAACGTTCATGCCCCGCATTCCAATGCTGGAGCAGGAAAGCTTGAAATACCTACCAAAACACTTGAATACAGACATACTGTCTGTATGGAAATACTCTGTGCAGGTGTTAATCAAGTTAAATCCCAACAGCCAATCAGCAAGAAATGCTCTGTGCAGGTGTTAATCAAGTTAAATCCCAACAGCCAATCAGCAAGAAATGCTCTGTGCAGGTGGAAATGCTCTGTAGCAGGTGTTAAATCAAGTTAAATCCCAACAGCCAATCAGCAAGAAGAATAGAGGAAAGCTGCATGCCTATTGGTTGATGCCCTGCATTCCATTGTGATGACTCATACCCAAACGTGGTAAACATGACACACTAACACAGTAATACATTTGCTATAACACAGCCAAAAAACTCAAATAAAACCATTCTAAAAGCCTGTATCACAAAAATTTAAAAAACGCCTAGGGGTATTTGCCCACTGTACCTCCATACCAAATTTCAGGACCTTGGGCCCTAAAATGAAGATGCTGAATCCATTTAAAAAATGGCAGGAGGAGAAGGAGGAGAAGAAGAAGAAGAAGAA